ATATATATATATACCAGATCCATAAGTGGTAAGGAAGACTTTTTAATCTAAAAATAATCACAAGTTAAATCCATGATGAGACCTAAATTTATATACAGAACAATATATAAATTCACACATTGAACTTTTATCAAGGACGTAAATTTAATATTTTTACATTAAAAAAAATCCTCTTGGTATTATGTCAACTTCATTTTATGTTTTCAACAGTGTAAACCCCCAACCAGTCAAGCTAAAATCGCTACGTCTTTTTAAAATTTTTATTTTTTATTTTTATAGTGTATTATTTTATTCATTAATTTTTTTTGTAAATGACTGATTTTAGTATCAAATTGTCTGGCTGAATTTACATCACTGAATAAAATATAGTCGGTCTGATGAGGTCGGTATATTTATGTATATGTATGTATAACTTGAAATAATTTATAACCGAATATATTATGAATAATTAGTATCTATATATATATATATATATATATATATATATATATATATATATATATATATATAGAATAGAGAGAGAAAGAGAGAGAAAGAGAAGAGAATATATATATATATATATATATATATATATATATATAACTCTCTTCTCTATATATATATATATATATATATAGATATATATATATATATATATATATATATATATATATATATATATATAACTATATATATATATATATATATATATATATATATATATATATATATATATATATATATATTATATTATATATATGTCATATTAGGCCATTATTATACTTCGGTCATTCTATTAGGCCATTATTATTATACTTCGGTCATTCTATTAGGTCATTATTATACTTCGGTCATTCTATTAGGCCATTATTATACTTCGGTCATTCTATTAGGTCATTATTATACTTCGGTCATTCTATTAGGCCATTATTATACTTCGGTCATTCTTTTAGGCCATTATTATACTTCGGTCATCCTATTAGGACATTATTATACTTCGGTCATTCTATTAGGCCATTATTATACTTTGGTCATTCTATTAGGCCATTATTATACTTCGGTCATCCTATTAGGACATTATTATACTTCGGTCATTCTATTAGGCCATTATTATACTTCGGTCATTCTATTAGGCCTTTATTATACGTCAGTTATTCTATTAGGCCATTATTATACTTCGGTCATTCTATTAGGCCATTATTATACTTCGGTCATTCTATTAGGCCTTTATTATACGTCGGTTATTCTATTAGGCCATTATTATACTTCGGTTATTCTATTAGGCCTTTATTATACGTCGGTTATTCTATTAGGCCTTTATTATACGTCGGTTATTCTATTAGGCCATTATTATACTTCGGTTATTCTATTAGGCCATTAATATACTTCGGTCATTCTATTAGGCCATTATTATACTTCGGTCATTCTATTAGGCCTTTATTATACGTCGGTTATTCTATTATTCAAACATGTATTTGTTTTGTTTTTGTTTTTGTTTTTTTTAACTGAATCTTTCTCGAGTGATGGGAATTATATTTTTTAATTTTTTTTTAATAAGATCAGCTCAGTTTTTTTCCAAACACGGTCAACATATTTAGACATATTAATGAATTTGAACTCATAAGCAGCAGTTTTCGACTACATCCACCTGGGTGACGGCTTTGTTTTACGATTTTTGCTCCAATTTTTTGAGTGGTTCATTCTGACACATATTTTAACTGAATCTAGGGAACTGTAGAAAAAAAAAGGTTTAGTCATTGTGTTTTTCGTCTCAGCCAAACCTATAACGCGAATTTCGCTTGAATCCAGCCTTTTGATAAATATATCGAGAAGGCTTTGATTTTTTTCCTTGAATGCCTTCTTCTCAGCTAAACAATCAAAATCTCCATTCTGGTAATAGATGGAAACGAGGCCAGCATGTAAAGCACATAGGAATTCGTTTACGGTATGGAACATTGATTTTGAACGATGTTCAATCTTCTAGATTGTACAACGGTATTATTTACATTTGTTCTTTCTTATTGTTTTTTAAAAAGAGATTTTTCCCCTGCTGTTTAATATTATTTTTACGCTGTTATGTCGAGCAGGTTGAGATTTTTTATTAAGGAAAATCGTTAGCTTACATGGAACATATTTGGATTGAATGGACGGCAATATATATTTCGTTTATTGCTTTCTATCGACATTTCATGTCTCTTCTTTACCAGCGTTTTCATTTCGCCATTTTTAACATCTTTTGTAAGGCTTATATTTCCTTCTGTTTCAAAGTTACTACCTCAATTTCATTTCTCGTTTTTTTTCTGTTTCTCTCCTTTTTTTAAACTTGGAAATTTTTTTTTTATGCTTCCTTCATTATATTCCTACCTTCCTGTTTTTTTTTCTATTCTGCTATTCACTATTCTGTTCAGTTCATTTTTATTCCCATTTTATTTGTTTATTATTCTGATTGATTTTTATATTTTACTCATCTTTTACTTTTGTATATCTTTCATTTATTCCAGTATTCTTCAAAATTTTATTCATGTTTTCGCTTTTTCTTCTTTCTTCATTCTTTATTCGTATCATACACATTGTTGTGTTTTTATTTGTTTTTAATTATTTTTCATTTAATTTATTCGAGTATTTTCTTCATTTATACTCTTGTCTATTATATTTGTTCTGTTTATTTAATATTTCCATTCGTTTTTTTTATTCCGTAATGTATTATTCTCTCTAGTTTCGTTTATTCATTATTCCTTTATACCTCGATATGTTTTTATTCATTCATCAGATAATCCGATTAACTCTCATTTATTCTTTGATTCCCCAGTTTTTCTTATTCCCATATTAATGTAATTTAATATGTATTCTTTATTATTCTGTTATTCCATTATTCCCTATATATTCTGTTATTTCACGTTCATCTATACTTTTATTATCTTCCTCTTAGCTTATTTTCCCGCATTCTATTGTTTTTGCCTTTCATTATTTATTTGATATCCATATTGCTTCTTGATTTAGTTATTCGATTATGCATGCATGCAACTATATATATATATATATATATATATATATATATATATGTGTGTGTGTGTGTGTGTGTGTACGTATATATATATCTTTCATTTTTGTTATCATTTTCTCTTACACTTTATTTATACTCACATATTCTTTCTTTTATTCTTCCTGCTTCGTTGATTCTTTTCTTATTTACATTTTTCATTAATTCTATTACGTTTTCAATTTCACTATTTCTTTTTTTTCATTCATTCATTCATTCTTGCCATAGTCCATTTTCTTTCATATATTTTTTCATTGTTTTTTCTTTATTATTGTTCAATCAAACTTTTATTATCCTATTCTTTATTTCTTTATTCAACTAATTTATTTAATTATGAAACTTTATATATATTTATTCCTTTATTCGATTTGGTTTCCTTTGGCGCCGTCAAAACATTTAATCATAGCGTTTCGTTTCTTTGCTTTGTCTTTCTTTCTTTCGTTTTTTCGTTTTTTTCTTTCTTTTCTTTTCTTTCTTTCTTTCTTTTTCTTTCTTTTTTCTTTCTTTTTTCTTTTCTTTTCTTTTCTTTTCTTTCTTTTTTTCTTTCTTTCTTTCTTTCTTTCTTTCTTTTTCATTCTTTCTTTCCTTGTTTCTTTCTTTCATTCTTTCTTTCTTTCTTTCCTTCTTTCTTTCTTTCCTTCTTTCTTTCTTTCTTTCTTTCTTTTTCATTGTTTCTCTTATTCTCTTTTGATTCTCCTTTTTATTACCAGTTCTTTTCTTTCATTTTCTCTCTTAGTATTTCTCTTACTTATTTTTTTCCTTTTTTTTTTCTTCATTAATTCCGTGACTTTGACATTTTTCTTACATTTCTATAAGGTTTAATCCACCGTTTCGTCTTCCGATAGTTTTTTTAGTTATTTATCATAGTTCTTCTTCAAATCGATCTTGCTTTTTTTCCTACATTCGTTTTTCCCGTTTGGATAAAAGTCACTTGGCTGAGCAAATAAAAGTACATGACAGAGAAATTACTTAGAAAAAAATTAAAAGAAAAAAGAAAAAGAAAAAAGAAAACAATGAAGATCCATTCTTTTGATTGGTCAATATTATTCGGACTGTAAGAAGTTAGCGTGAAAGATAATAAAGGCCAGCAGCGATTGGTCAAAAAAAAAAAAAGGAAATAAAGAAGCAGTCATGTGAACATAGACAATCGTACGGCGGATACCACTGACGATAACGAAATGTATAGACATGGATTTTTTGAATAAAGCCAGTGATTCTAAGCATCCAAGCAGAAAGCTTATTTACTGATATCCATTTGACCTTTTCTCCATCAGAATTTTATTCATAATAATTACATAACATAGACATATATTCTCACATTCTTTCATGTATGCGTTTACATCCAAATTCATGCACGTCCACTTACACGGACGAATATTCATAAACACTGTCACACGTACACACGCTTGTATATAAAGTTTAAAACTGACTATATTCGAAGAATATAGGGTGATGAGTATCAATATCAGAGATGTGCGTTTGTACAGATAGACAATATGGGAAGAGAAATGAACGCGTTGTGATGGTTGGCAGTTTCATGCCACAGACAATTTAAAATGTGCCATTTTTAACTTCGCTGGCACTTTATATAGGCTACTCGGGAATTAGGGGTGGACAAAGAAAGAAACGAGTCTTTCTCCATTGTTCCCGTTGGAAATAATTTTAGATTTTTAAAGCCATGTTCTTTAGTTGTCTTATTTTATTTTTTTAAATGTGTTATTTTATTTTCTATATGTTATCTTTATTTATTTATTCCTTTTTTATGTTCTACGGTTTCAATTTTTGGCATTTACAATAAAGTTGGGATACTCTATACTCTTTTGTGCCATAGATTTGTATGTAGCGTAGTATTAATTTTGCTTCGTGTTGCCTTTGATGACGAGGGTATATAATTATGAAAAAGTGATTCTTACTGTTGGTACCAATCCCACAGTGGGGATCACTGTAAAGACTTTCCTCTCCAGTTTATAGGTAGAACCACATAAATGCATGCTGGTATTTCTTCCTAGCCAATAAGATAGGCCACTTCTTGGTGTCATCTGACTCAGTCCCGATCTGTCTTGCCTCAAGGGGTTAAAGAGAGCGCGAGCAGGAGTTAAAGGGCCTGTTAGAGGAAGAAAAGAAGAGAAGGACAAGGAATAGATGAAGGCATCTGGAGATGTCGAATGACATTGCATTTGAATAGTTGGAGATTATAGCTATCAGGGAAGCAAGTTAGACGAAGCAAGTTCCACAGACGGGAAGTGCGATAAAATTAAGCTATCGGAGTAGAAGAAACGGCAACATTTAACCGTTTCGACACTGAAAGGGTGGGAATGGGATGCCAACCTATTAGCACGTTTAAATTCGGGCAGTTTTGGAACCAGCGAAAGTAGCTCGTCGGAGCAGTTACCGTGGAAGTATTTGTAGAAAAGATAGAGAGAAGCAACTGCACGCCTTTGAGAGATGTAAACGAGATGCCAGATCAGGGCTAATTACATTGCATATCCGTCTCTGGATTTTGTCGAGGAACTTATGATGAACAACAAGGTCTCCAAGCCATATATGGTAACTGTATTCCATGCAAGGGCGAAAGGTTGATTTATAGATTTGAAGGAAGGACTCGGGAGAGAAAATTCTTCTAGCGCGACACAGAGACCAATTTCTTTGCCATTAGATGAATCTAATGATTCAATGTATTTATTCCATGTCAGACCAGCATTACCTTAGCTTATCCGAATTTGCTCATGTGTGTCAACCCCAGTTCTTGATTTGTGAACTTTTTGCTATATTATTTTTGCTTTGGATTATTACTGTTAATTTACCTTGAATATATTATTTACTTGCTTTATATTGTTTTTTTGTTTTTGTTTCTTTTTACATTTTCTTTTTTTGTTATTGTAATTGTTTATTGCAAATTTGTCCATTCTGCCATTTATTTACATTTAACTATGACCCCTCACTCTAAAGTTACAACTTTCTCTACTTAACAAACTTTATTCCGTTCTTAGGTGTCGCTGTAAACTGTTGATGTTTCTCTAATCTTACATTAATGTCTTTTAGTCAGTGATTTTCTCTTTCATTATATAATTTAAGAGGGTTGTATATTTGGATATTTTTCTTCTTAAACTGTGTTTATTATGAATAATTTATTTGTTTCTTTGTATTGACTTTTTTCCAATGTATTTTTCTGGATTTTCTTTCGAACTTACAGTCACTTGGTATAAGTTAGTTTTTATAACGTTCTATTGTAATATCTACTAGTACTTTCTTCTGCAATTAAAATGAGGCAAAGTTTTGTGATTCCATGCTAGTGGTTTGTAGCTAAAGCCCACAAAATGTGTAGTAATACATGGTATGAAGATCACTTGAGTTGTGTAAATGGCAAGCACCATAAAGAGTTTATTTTCTGTTCACTATTTTTGTCTATGTATGTGTGTAACTATTTGTGTTATCTCCCTTTAATTTAACTCTCAATGTTTTGTTCGACACTGCTTTAGCCAGGGATTTGACTCACAAATCCTTGGGTCATGTGAATGGGTCCAAGTAACGCATTTATCCAACATTTAAATAATGAAATCTGAAAAATAATGAGATACTATAAAAAACACCTTGACCGATCATGAATATAAGGAAACAGAGTACCTTATAACCGTATGTATTAATGATGACAAAATGAATCAGAAAGAAATCATTGCTAAATAAATTTGCAGCTTATACCAAAGAAAGAGACTACTTCACAATAAATGTAACAAATATATAGAACTATCCAACCATACATTAACAGATGACCAGAAGAATTTCCTAAATCTGATCAAATTGCCATCTCCAACATCTATTTGAGCTCCAAACAAGGAAGACCGAAACTGAAATCCTACGCTAGTCATTATCACAACTGGAAACGAATAAAGTAATAAAATACATAAAACAACATCAGAGAACTTCTCAAGGTAGAAGGACTAAACAATCGCATCATCGCAATAATTATAGCAATATTCTAACAAAAAACAACTCAAAACTGACTTAAAATAATAATAATAAAAAACAATTCCGATATCGTCATTAGACAAGCTGACAAATATATTACAAAGATTAATTTTGGGCAAAATTACCATACATCATTGATGATCGGTCCAAATTTTTCATATATATATATATATATATATATATATATAATCAAATGGTTAAGTTTAGGTAAATGTACGAGCAAGCTTTGTATGCAAACATATATATATATATATATATATATATATATATATATATGTATGTATTTGTATATTTAGGCAGCAATCCTTCGTTTATGCATGTTTCATTAAAAACGACTGACAAGGTACTACGGTTAAGCTTTTTATTTAATTTTTCTTGTGTTCGAACAAGAGTTTTCTTTTCTGGACAAAGTTGCTGGTGTGTAAGAACTGTCCAAATATTTTATATTTCCCAGCGCTTTCGGCTATACCTTTAGCCATTATCAAGAATGAATCGATTTTTCAGCTTAATTGAGTGTGTCCGTTATGTGTATGTCTTAGTGTGTGGTAGGGATGTTTTTAATTTCCGAATACGGTTAGCACACTGTGGCTTTGTTCGTAGTTAATATTGTTAAGAAACATGCATATATTGTTAATGAAACATGCATATATATATATATATATATATATATATATATATATATATATATATATATATATATATATATTTATTTATATAGTATGATAAAAACTGTGCTTAATGCATAATAAGTGAGCTATTTAATATATTAAATATATACATAATACCTACATTGATTGCACAATTACGAGATTCATGCCTTCTGCAATCATCAGGTGCGGATTTGTTTTTGGTTATCACCGTTTATTTAATATTTCTGGTTATCGAAAGCTATTTTATACTGAAACACGTTGTACCAAATAAACATAGTCTAGCCGCAACCGGGGACTATAAACACTATTATATTATTTATATTTATTAATATTTGCAGAATATTATTTTTGCTATATTTACTATGCAATTATTTTTATTATTAGACTGTAACGCATTGTTATTATTAGACTGTAAAGCATTTAAAATTTTTGCTAATCTATTGAGTTATCATCAGATACTTGTCAAATTAACCGACACGATATATTAGTAATTGCGTAACCAATGCCTTTTTAATAATTGTATTATTAAAAGTCACTCTAAAATCGAGTAAACTAATTCGGAGAAAATATTAAATTGTTGAAATTTTGAATTCTATCTTTATTGTCAGTTAGATTTTAGTTTTAATAAGTTACTACTTACTAAAAACCTAAAACAGAACCCATAAAAAAGGCACATTTAAAAATAATTTTGGTTTACCTTATAGGTGATATTTTTTTATCTTTTATGAGGTGATATTTATTAAAATATTAGTTTTGCTATATTATTTTCGTTTATTTTGTTGTCATTGTGTAGATGTTTTCTGTAAACAAGTTTAATCCTGTTTTTATGTTGTGATTATTATGCTGTTTATTGGTATTTTTCCAACGCTATTTAAACTTGTTTATCTCTGCATATGGGAAGGAATATGAAGGAAACGGTTTGTAATGTGATATACTTGTGTCAAGATTGAATGTTTTATTTACATGCTTGTTGAAACCTCAAAATATATCAATGACGCTAATGCCTTGTTTTACATTTCCTCTGCGAACGAAACCTCGTTAAAACGAAGCTGAATTTTGCAACAAAAACCAATATCAAGAAGAAATATTCCTTATACATCCCATGAATTTCCACTTTAAATATTAAACATTTCTAAAATAACACCCGTTAGCATTACTTTAACCTCAATCGAAAATGGGTTTAGTTAAGGTTTAATTTAATGTAAATGTTAATAACAATTTCGAAATAACAATATAATTTTAATTACAAATCTTGTCTAAAAGCGTCAGTGAAATAATGAATGATCTATATCGATTTTTAGTAAACGGCCTAAATTTTGATCGAAGCTTAATTGTTAAAATAAGTGCTCTGTACCTTCAGGATGTTTTCGATCACAGCTCTCCACAACTTTGTTTCATTTATTGTTTTCAGTAGTATTTGGTATCTTACTATATATCTGTTTTGCCATCCATTTACACATAGCCGTGAAGGAGGTAATTCCTTGATTCCCCCTCTCCTTTTTCCATTTATTTTTCACGTGGGTGCCAAGGTTTTGAAGCCTTCTTTCCTCATAATCTTGCAGGTAATGTTAATTTCAATTGACTCTTTTCTGTTCTCCTTTTTGTTTCTGTTTTCTTTAAACCATACGTATTGCTCACATTATCTGTACATGCTAATATCAGCATAATTGTAAATAGCCATATTTCTATTGCTTGTATTCAGCGACATTCACTGACATATAGGATGATTTGACACAACATCAATTACAGCATATTTTCTAAATCGATTTTCCTATTTCTGGATATTTGCTTAGAATTTGAAAGTCATGATTTGCTATTCCAAATCTACTTCGTATTTTAATGTTACATTTTGCTTCATCTCTTAAATCACTTCACATATACCTTCTTATTCTAACTATGACTACCTATGTCATCAGCATCATTAAACTCTTCTTTGCGAGGTAAAATAAAACGGCTGTTTTCTATGAGTAGATTCGTTTCGAATGTGGTATGTTTTTGTGGTTGTGTGTAAATTTTCAAATATAGCTCATATATATGTACATATATTTTTCATGTTGAATTGAATATAGTTAATTATGTTTTATGAATATGTCCTGAAGATGGTCTATTAGACCGAAACGTCCGACGTTGACATTATATTAACATTAAAACTGCATATTAGGATTTTTGTTTGTTTTTTCTGTATATTTTTCTTCATTATATATATATATATATATATATATATATATATATATATATATATATATATATATATATATATATATATATATATATATATATATATATATATATATATATATATATATATGTGTGTGTGTGTGTGTGTGTGAAAAAGTATGAATAAAGACACAATTGGAACTTATCTTAGCCAAAACGTTTCGTCCTATGTTGGATTTTATCAAATTAAATGCAATTATTTCCTTTTAGAGAGAGAGATAGTAGATATATAGATAGATAGATATACAATGTGTATATAAGGAAATGTACTTTCTATCTTATACTATATATTTGGAAACAAAGTACATCATACCAAGAACAGAGCATTATATAAATGTAAACCGCGTAGATATAGAGAGCTTTGCAAAAAAAGTCAACCCTGAGATAATATTTTTAAAATTGTTTCCATTTTCCCATATGATCAACAAATGTTTATTAAACTATATAGTCAGTAAGAAAAAAAAACCTTTATCAAATCAACTATAGCCAATTTTAGAAATGTTATCAAGATGGAATAAAAGTATTAATTAAAAATAAAAATGTGCAAAAGTAACTGAAACCTTACATTTAATATATGGTGATTCCCCTTTTTGAGGGTACAATATCAACTAGTTTTTTTTTATATATATTTTAAAAAGTTTCTGGCAGTAATGAGTGCCAATTTTGAACCGTTCTTCTTGGCAAAATTCCCACAGTTGCTTGATATTACCTGAGTTTCTGGTATGCTCCCCGTTATTTCACCTTGATCATAGATTTTCAATTGGGTTTAGATCAGGACTTTGACTCGGCCATTCGAAGACTTGAAATTTCTTTTTAAGAAACCATTCTTTTGTGGATTTGCTTTAATCGTTGTCCTGTTGGATGTTCCAACCCCAACCTAAATCCAAATTTTGAAGTGAGGACGAGACACTTACGTTCAAAATCTGCCAACAATTCTTACTCTTTTGCCTGTCCTTGAAGCAGCAAAGCACTCCCAAATCGTAATGCTGTCACCGATATGTTTAATGGTTGGTATCAAATTCTCTGCAAAAGCCGTCTTAGAACCTAGCCAGATATACCACGTATTGTTCCTCCAAAAATCCTCTAGTTTGGTCTCATCTGACCATAAGGCCTTTTGCCAGAATGTATGTAGCATATTAATATAAGCTTTGGCATAGTTGAGCTATTTATTTCATAATATATATATATATATATATATATATATATATATATATATATATATATATATATATATATATATATATATATATTTGGTTGGATAGATGTGAGTTTTGACCCTGGGTTTCACGCTTTAGCGATCGTCAGCTGACGATCGCAAAAGCGTGAAACCCAGGGTCACAAACTCACATCAATCCAACCAAATATGTTAGCTCTATCTCTGATATTGAGCGCTTTTAATAAGTACTCGCATATAATATATAAATAATTATACATATATATATTTATTTATATTTATATACACACACTTTTCACACACACACACACACACACACACACACACACACACACACACACACACACACACACATATATATATATATATTTTCTATTTTATTTTTTTTTTTTTTTTTTTGACGTGAAGTTATCCCTTTACAAAACCCGGAAACCACTCGTAGTACAGTGTTACAGAATAAGTAACACAGTTTTTGAGGATATGTGTGGAGGATAAGGATTAACCCTAGATTTGAACGGATGAAGATTATAATAACCGGGAAAATATCTTCTAGGGAGTTAGTTTCACAGAGTAGCGGGAAAATGTTTTGCTCGAGAGGAACATACTTGTCATCAATCGAATAGGAAGAGAATAAGGGTCGTTCGCTACAATGTGCCTAGCATTGTGGGTTTTAACCATGACAGTTAGAACTAAGGAATGTGGTTCGTTTGAGCACTTTCCATGGAAATAGCGACACAGCAGTGACAATCTTGTGACGTTTCTTCTGTGAAAAAAAGGGCGTGTTGAGTGGAAGATAATTTGTCACCAACAAAGATGCGGAGACGCTTTTGGAATCTAACAGAATGGAAAGTGAGTTCTGAGCAGTTCTTTCAAAAATATCGCAGCATTACTCTATTTTCGACCGGATTTAGTTCTCCTACAGGTAGAGGATAGCACGACGAATCAGGTATTACAGGAGTGGTACTGATAAAGGATCATTTTTCAAGGATTTTTTTCGATGAATCGTATGTGCGAGTTCCATTTGAGGCGTGGATTGAGTTTAAAGCCCTAGAGACGCTCAAGGCACTGGTCATCTTCGAGGAGACATCCAGTCATTTTGATTGGTGATAGTTCAGGGTCCGCTCAATGATAATGAAACTGGTTTAGTTTCTCCTGGCATGAGATGTCAGAGTTAAGTCAGAGGAGAGGTCAGCTATCTAACTCTCGTAACTAAAATTTCTGAAGGCGCACAAATATGCCGTTATATCATCAGCATAGATATTCGCAAATGACCGGACTATCTATCTATCTATCTATCTATCTATCTATCTATCTATCTATCTATCTATCTATGTGTTGAAAATATGGATTAAATCCGACAGAATTATTTATTAATTGACAAATGGGAAAGTTTAAGAGAATTTAATTTTTTCATTATTTATTTAGGAGCACCAGGAATTTTTGGAAATGAAGTAAAGCGGAAATATGCTTCAATGTTTAAATCTTATGTTGTTTTATTTTTAGTGATTGGGCAGAAATATCTATCTATCTATCTATCTATCTATCTATCTATCTATCTGCATGTATGTGTGTATATATACCATTCAGATTAAATGTACCTAACTTGTATTTGTATCTAGTGTGGGTAGTCTGATTGAATGTTAACATGGCTAGAATCTATCTATCTATCTATCTATCTATCTATCTATCTATCTATTTATCTATCTGTCCCTCCGTTAAGTGTATGTCTGCCGATCTGCCTATATATCAGCCCAAAGTAAAACAAATCTCTCTCTCTCTCTCTCTCTCTTTCTCTCTCTCTCTCTCTCTATATATATATATATATATATATATATATATATATATATATATTAGAGAGAGAGAGAGAGAAAATAGAAAGAGGAAGAGAGGAGGTGGATGAAATGGAAGAGTGTTACATATTTTCCCTCAGTCAGACACTAATCTATCTATCTATCTATCTATCTATCTATCTATCTATCTATCTATCTATCTATGTGGCATGCATGAGCTGTGCCTGTATTTGTACGGAAGACATTGGTAAGTTTAATAAATGCTTGTATCTGTCAGTTCTTGTTACGCAACTTGTGCCCGGATGAGAATTGGGTGCATTTCTTCGCCTCATTGAATTCAAGAACGTAGTGAGTCGCTCAATTTTGGCTGGCATTACAAGTTCGAATTGTACAACTGAAGATCATGGGGAAATGACCTTCAAATTGAATGAGTGAACAATTCAAATCCTCAATCAGTTGGATAAATGATTTCGTTGGCTTTCAACGAACCGCTATCACGTGACCTAGACTCTATGCCAATAGCTTCAAACAAGCAATTATTCTGAAGCGGTTTCAGCCCATAAATGCGTTTCGCGCTTAGGGAAGACAATCAAGCATCCAATTGATGACTACTGCCCATAGAAATATCGGTTAATGAAAGAAGCTGATAGAGGATGAAACAGGATTTATGGCATTACCTCCCAACTCATATTGCATTACAAATAGACAAATACAATTGTGCATTTTACTATATATATATATATATATATATATATATATATATATATATATATATATATATATCCGACAATTTTATTAAGACGTTATTCTTAATGGATACCCGTATTTGAGTAGAAGCCTCGTTTTTGGGTTTTTTTTTAACAGCGTTTATATCCTTTACTGACATGCGTACTTGCTTGCTTTGGTTTGGCTTGTTTCGTTGGTTTGTTTGGTTTGGTTTGGGTTGTTCGGTTTTACGGCATATCAACCTCAATCGGTTATTTAATGCCGACAAAATTTTTATTGCTGGTAATATTTTTTTTTAAAATATATTACTGGTAATATTTTTTTTCTTAAAAAAAGTGTATTGCTGGTAATATTTATTTTCTTCAAAATGTATTGCTATTAATAATGTATTGCTGGTAATAATTTTTCCTCCAAAAATTTATTACTGGTACTAAAACCTGTGTAACACTTTCATGGTGTTTTGACCCCCACTTTGGAGGGGAACTATTTGCCCATAACTGGGAACGTGATATGTGCTACCACTCCGGGTAATGTTTCACCATGGAACACCAGCAGTTAAAAGATGCTTCCATGCTCCTCAAAACCTCTTGATCAGAAGCTTTGCTGTTGGATGCAGTATATCTTCTTACCTAGGACGCGAATGTAGTTGACCTTCATACCCAGGACGGTCCGTATTTGCGAAAACACAACGTAGAAAATGTAACCACCAGTAAGATTAGAACCTACATCAGCCTTTCTAGGATAAACCACAGTCTTATTTCGCGTGCTTTGACAAGCTCCGCTACGGAGAATTTTATAGTCAAGGATATGTTTTTTTTATGTACATTCATTCGTTCATATTTTATGGAAAGTCATATCAGCTCATTTTGGCTTCCGAAACGTGAATAAAACAAAATAATTTCGAAATAATTAATAGATTTCGGTTCTTTTTAATCTGACATATTGTTATTTTTTTTTAAATTGGATAACCGAATTGGAGTAGACGCTCCATTTTTTAAACAGTGTTTATATCGCTAAAACTAAAAATAACATTTCATTAATAAAAAAATATATTTCTCGTATCTATTTTACTTACAAGATAATGTTTCTTGGAATTATGAGTGTCAAGAAAAGTTCAGCATTTTTTATTTTAAATCTGATATTATTTCTGATGGATATAAAATTTATATTTTCAGGCTCATGTGTTTCAGTAGACTATCCCGGTTTTGTGACTGATTTAGACTGAAATTAGAACAAAATAAAAAAAAAAAATGAATAAACCTTATTCAATTGACTCTACCGGCGTGAGTATGAAGATAAAGTACATCCACATCTTGGGTAAGACGATAAAATAAATCCAACAGCAAAGACTTTGATCAGAATGATTTGAGGAGTGTGGAATCACATCTTAGTTGATGTTGTTCCCAGGTCGACCTTGACCCGGGGTGGTAGCAGCTATTAGGGTCCCAGCTATGGAAAAATAAGTAACCTCCAAACTTTGGTCAAATCACTATGAAAGAGTAAAAATAGGTTTTAATACCAGCAATACGTTTCTGCAAATAGAAAAAAAATACCAGTAATAATTTTTTAAAGAAAAAATATTACATATTACATTACCAGCAACACACTTTGAAAAAAAAAATGCCAGCAATAAAAATCTTGTCTGCATTAAATAACCTACTGGGGTTGATATACCGTAAAACAAAACAAAACAAACCCAAGCCAAACCAAACCACTGCCTCTGACAAGAAACAATACAAGTAATAGTTCTCACCAGGAATTCAGCCAGGAGACATTCACTAGACCGACTTTCGGGAGGCCGCAGGTAAAACCTTCACAAAGTGTTATATCGAGGACAGTGATAACACTGCATCGCTGGGGGAAAGGATTTCTAATTGAAGTCAACGGCGGAGGTCATCTCCAATGGAATTAACAACTCGTGACCTAATTCGAGCCTTCAAGTCGAAGGCGATTGACTGTGATCTGACTTTGAGAGACAGGGAAATCGCAAGCTCTTTTTTTTACCCAAGTCACGGTAGGCAATAACGCATATCTACTGAGACATGTAGAGGAATCTTGTGGGCTGCTAATATGATGATGAAAGTCTTCCGAACGAGAAATCGAGAATACTATTTGATTCATGTGAGAAATCCATTGATATCTACCTCTAAGCTACTGATTATAATATTAAAATAAATTCCGGAATTAATTATAGGTTTATAAAAATTCCAGTTGTTTTTGGTGATTGATACGTTTTCTACTTATTAACATTTTTGCAGATTATTTAAAGTTTAGATTTTTATATTGTAAACTTTTTTTTTTTACATTAAAATGATTTAGTGATATAAGTCTTACTAATTAACTCATAGCTTGTGTGTGAAAGAGATTGATAACGTTTTCTACGGATTATTAACTTATTTAAAGCCAAAGTTTAAATTTTTATATTGTAAACTTTTTTTTTACATTAAAATGATTTAGTTATATAAGTCTTACTAATTAACTCATAGCTTGGGTGTGAAAGAGATTGATACGTTTTCTACGGCTTATTAACTTTCTTGCAGATTATTTAAAGTCAAAGTTTAATTTTTTATATTTTAAACGTTTTTTATTTACATTAAACGATTTAGTTTACTAATTAACTCATAGCTTGGGTGGGAAATAAATAGATTCATACGTTTCCCAAGTGTATTTAGGTGTACCTGAATATAACGAACCCAACGCGATTTGAAACTCGGCTATCCGATTCACAATTCTGACCCATTATGCATTTCACTTCGAGCACATTCAATTTTAAAGAACCTGGAATGCCCACGTGGTCAGTCATCTAGGCACTGAGGGAGCACAAGATTGCTTAACTTCGGTGATCGTCTGGGGACCAGTGATTCAACGTGACGTGACTAATCAGTAAAATTTGCGGTAATAACTATTGGTTAATGAAAATCTCCTATTAATTCTTATAGCCCATTACTTGGAGCAGTTGACATTAATAAATTGATATTAAACACTGGAAGTCGTTCGTGTCGAATATTAAAAATTTATAATTTCTCTTCGTTTGATTATGGACTGATTGCTATGGGCGACATTTTCACGTATATTAAAACATTTTGTAGTTAGCTATGGTAACATATTAGGCATTGTTTATGTATTACCTTGCTTTTTCTGTTTTCGACACTAATTTTTCAAGTTTTCAAAGATTTTTCATTCTTTTGATAGTGTTTGTTTTTCGTTGCTCTTCTTTCTGTTTGGGAAAAAAAGAAATGGTTATCTTTTTAATATATCTATTTAAATTTGGAATCTCATTCGATTACCGTTTCTTTATGGGAATGATTAATTTGTCGCAGAATATGGCTGATTACAACACACAACTAATGAGACGAGTCTACACTACGATTTAACCTAAAGCATATTAGAGAGGAAAGGAAAGTGATTCATCATATGCGTATTTACGAAAGTGAACATTAAGGACTGGAAGTTAAATTCTGTTCGGAGATTAACCTTTTTTCACCGTTAACCGTTATACTAACAGCACATCCGAGTATAACAGGAGCAGGCGGAAATTTTTTCTATTACTATTTTATTACTAGACTTACATCACCATAATGCTGTTTCGAGGTATCATTTTCTCAACTATAATAATTTTGTTATTAGGTGTGCACTACTAATAGAAAGATTGTTTTATTTCCCGTAGGCTATTACAATGCTATTGAAGGGGGCTATGCAGATGACATAGGTAATAATATCTGTCTATATCTCTGAAACGAGGTATTATGATTATTAACATTATTCGGACAGTTATCCTCATGTGCATTGCCATATTTAAAAAGTTGCGGCTGTTAATTAGTTAAATATTAATCTGTTTCCTGAGATGTGACACGGGCTTCTGGACTTAGAATTCCCCTCAGCAAGGAAAAGATAAACGTTTTTTTTTTCCCCTACAACAATCTATAGCTGAATAGAGAGCGAAACAGAGTTAGGGAGAGATTCTTTTGGTCATTCTCTTTTAAACGTTTCATCTATGGTTTTATACCACGGAACCTGTTAGAAGTTAGGAGAGTATGATTGGTAGATTATAAATGAGTGGGATTTATAATGTTAACAATGTATAAACGGGCGCGTGTCTATGCAATGATTTTTTTTATATTGATATAGGAGTTATTTTTCGCTTTTTAGCCCTCTCACTCGCTCCCTAACTACCACACCCATTTAAGTGTCTAGTGTAGCTATTATGTATTTAATATGAGTCGGAGAATCATGTTAATCCGGGGTTATCTCTTTTGCTGCTTCACTGGGAAAGAAACGGTGTGGATTCGCTCGTCGGAAATAATGAACACCAGAGTATGATTAAAAGAAATAGTTCTTGCCTAACTGACAGAAGAGATAATAAAAATAAACAAAAAGCTTTAAACCTCCGGATGATTTGAGACAGCTTTTAGTGTGAGACTATGGACATGTGTGCCCTTCGGCTATATTCACCTGCAAAAATAATCATTGTAAAGGAATTCTTGGAAACTTAATATTGCCTCGGATATATCACGACATTGCAGTTTCAAAATCTGCTAACGGCAAAGATCCAGTCTGTATTACGAGTAGCTTTGGATGGACATCATTCATGCTTATCAATGGGTGGCGGTCAGATCTTAACTTTCCCTGTATCTACTATAAACGACTTGACCCTTTTTTCTCAGTTCTTCCTCTAGCCATTTGACTTTCTCCATCACTGATAAGGACTTGCGGAACTCTTGTTCTTCTGATCTGTCTATGAACGATCAGAATCCCATTTCTTATCTGCTCTCTACTCTTCTCCAACACCGATAGGGACGGAAGCATTTTCTTGTTCTGTTCTCTATGTCATCTATATGGACGGTCAGTACGCCTTTCTTGCTCTGATGTTGATGCCTATAGGCGCTGTTTTCCATAAAGGACCGATAACCACGTCCAACATTACTCGTGCTCTCTTTGCGATGTTGTTATTGTTATGATTATGTATGTCTCTTTTCTTTGGAAAATCCATCGATCTGTCGACCCACATCGTATTCTATTAAAAATTCACGCTGATCGTAAAAACCAATTCCAATATTTTGGATATTAGTAGTGACCGAATAACCTGATTTGAATTATTCCAATCAAAGCTGCAGTAACACGTCTGGATTCCATAAATGTTTGAAACATAATTTAGCATACAAGAAAGGGTGCAGTGAAAAATTAATATATTTCCTAATGAATGGTAGAGGTAAATATATTCTTATTTTTCCAGACAAGTGTTATCTAACACACACCTATCCGATAAATGTTTGACCATTGGGGTTACGTAAAAGTGTACTTCTAGCGATATAATCACATAGATTCACGTCATTCTTTAGACCTCTCTATCATCGATAGGGATTAGAGGATTACTTTTACTTTTCTTCTCTATCACCTATATAGACGACTGGAACAACTTTTTATTGCTCAGCTCTCTGTCGCTTTCGCTTAATGATATGGACGTTTTATTAAAGTTCTTAAAACTCAATTTAAAAATATCTATATCCTTGAGATGAGATAGTATGATTATTTACATTATTTACATTATTCGAACTGTTATCCCCATCTTCATTGAATATTCACAACGGTTCGTGCGTTGTATGCTCCGACCTTCTTCAGGTGATTGAAATTTCAAACCGAACCCTTTATTTTCGCCACCAGGGTAGATTGTTCTATTCCACGTGGCATACCTCTTTCGAATGTCTCAGTTATTTCCCTTTAACTCAACTCTCCAAGATTTTTTCGTTCTTCACTGCTGTAGCCTGGTATTGAACTCACAATCTACTCCGCTGGAGGAAATAAAGGGTTCAGTTTGAAATTTCAGTAACCTGAAGAATACCGGAGCGTACAATGGCCGAAACGTTGTGAATATGGCAATGAAGATGAGAATAACAGTCCGAATTACGTAAATAATGTAAGTGACAATGAGAAGAAATCCATATTTAGTGTCCCAGTAGTTGCAATGTGGCCGGAAATGTTTGGCTGAAAAACGTCGTAAAAATAAGATAAAAAATCCCTTTCATAATAACGTAATGTTTCATGCAGTAAGAATAACACAAGAAAAACAGATGGAATTCGGTTGATCCTTTCTAATCACCAAGCTATAGTAACCTAATCGATTATTATATTTTCGATCGCGGCAAAACAATTTGAATAGAAAAAAAATAAAACTAAATATGATTCAAGAGTACGTCGTAAGCTTTTTTATATATTAAAACCAGCGTAATTTTGCACAAGAAAAATTCATCGAGGAACACCCCATTAATGGTCAGCAAGTCATTGTAAACAAATGTTGAATATATATATCTAAATAATATATGATTATACTTCAAGTCTTGAAGAATAGAATTATGAAAAAAAACGTAAATAATTCATGACCTAATATACTAATGACTTGTAAATTTTATTCTCCATGTTGTATAATGTCTTATATAAATCTTTAACAGCAACATCAATAACAATACTACTACTACTAATAATAATAATGATAATAATAACGGCGTTGTCTTCGTGAGGCCTCCCCAAATGACATCATAATGAAAATCAACGAGAATTTAGCACCGATCGAATCTAGATTGTACTCGTTCAAAAACACATCAATCACAATAATATCTGAAATGTATTTCACAGCTTGACTCTAGCAATGAAATTCACGTTTAGCGTAATCAAGGAAAACGTCATTCATACTAAATAAACTGACCTGATAAAGGAAGACACATCGCCAAATACAAGGACGGTTCATTACTTCGACATCTGTCACAGTTATGAGTGTAATATCTATCTGGATTGTCCGTTATGATTATAATCTGTCTGAGACGTCACTAATCACGTAATTAATTACACGGCGCAGTATCACGTGAATAAGTAGGGATTAAGAAGAGCATATACAAAGTCTGCTCCAAAATTGGGGACAAATGCTATTTTTGGAAGGGCAGGTTGTTCTTTAACTTTTTGCATAGCCAAAGAATGTCAGACAATTTGAAGCTTCCGTGTCTGTCTATATTACTGGGCTGAGGTATTATGTTCACTATTTACATTATTCGGATTATTGTTCTCATCTTTGTTGCTATATTTATTACAACGTTTCAGCCGTTGTACGCTCCAGCCTTCGTCACCTGGTTGGAATGTCGAACTGAACCCGTTATTTCGCTCACTGCGGTAGACTGTTCTACTTCCACGTGCCATGCTTAATGGATATCAGTTAACAGTTATCTCCTGTTAATTCCCCTCTCAATTTTTCCACTGCCTTAACAGGGGATTGAACTCAAACTCTTTGGGCTGTCACTTGATCTAACCAACGCCTTTATCCACTGTGCCATGAGTCCTCAAGGACACATGGCGCATAGTACGTTGTAATAGATTCGAAGCTTATTCACATAGAGTATTTGTTCTCTGCGTACAAATCACCGGTTTGAACGCCGTATCTTCCAATGTGCAGTAGTACTATTTTGAGTGAATATCATGCTGCAAAACCCTTTCTGTTATTAAATAATAATAATATTATTATTAATAATAATAATAATAATAATATCGTCTTTATGTGCTCAGATCCGAAGGAAGCAGAGGATTAGTTCAACTAGAACTGTCCTACAAAACTACAAAATTTGCCTCGAAAGATACTTGGAAACTACAGAAGACTGGATGATGGTATGCGTCAAGGACAATGAAAGTAGTAACCGTCTTTACTACGTAATAAAAGAAGCCAACAAATTCAAAATGGAGTTTCAAATGGGCGTAGAGATGCAAGTGCAGCACAATACACCGGCTGAAAATGCAAAATACTTAAAAAAAAAAAGACAGCAAAGACGAATGCAACAGACGAGATACAGAAGCGATGTCAAGATAAACCGCTTCATACTCTGCCCGTACCAAACAAGCTGACGTAGACAAAACCTGTACCCATCAGTGGCTACATAGTGCAGGGTTGAAAGCGGAAACTGAAGGTTTTATCCTTGCTGCGCAGGACCAATGCATGCTAATTAGGAATTATCAAGCACATATACTATAATATTGTGTCAGCCCAAAATGCAGATTCTGTGATAAATATCCTGAAACAATTGATCATCTTTTATCAGGTTGCACGATATTGGCACCCACTGAATATAAAACCCTGCATGACAGAGTGGGCCAATATCTGCACTGGAAAATCTGCAACTCCACCCAAACCTGGTTACGGAGATAGGACCTGTTACAATTCTATGGGACTACACAATACACACTCACAGAACACTCAAAGCCAACCGCCCAGATAAAGACCACAAACAAAAAAAATGCCTCCTTATTGATATGGCAGTCTCTGTTGGCTGCAATGTATCTTTGAAGATATTCAAAAAGCTGTCAAAATACAAAGACCTTGAAATAGAAATCTCAAAAATGTGGCATATGGCAACATCAACAATCCCTGTTGTAGTTGGAATCCTCGGATAGGTTGGAAAAGATTCCAGTAGACTAACTGAAGGGATTCCTGGAAGTCCATACCTCAGTGAGATACAAAAAATTGTTCTAACAAGTACAGCCCACATTTTACGAAGGGCTTTATCTATGTAATATTTATTTATTTATTTTGTCAGTGGAATGTGTCATGATGCCATTTTTAACCATAGTTCCCTGGGCGGGACCCTGAAAGAAATGTGTAAACACCAGAAATCAAAGAAAATAATAATAATAATAATAATAATAATAATGATAATGATAATAATAATATAAGGATGAAAAACTGGCAAATGCTACAATGTTAATGGTAAAATTAGCTGTTCCCTTATAAGAAGAACTTTGGCATCAATTGACCAAATAGCCACTACTACTGTCGAATGAAATTTATAAAATCTTTCTCTCAAAAAAGACTATATCAAGAGCGTAATTTTCTCAAGGCCAGTAGCTGTTATAACTCTTTCTCGTACGTATGGGATTTCCCTGGGTTTCGTTTGCATCAGCGTGGAACGTAGGCATCTTGATTATGAAATAAGTTTATCTTCGAGTTACATACATTATCCATTTTAACTGTTGCTTCATCGGTGAGAAAAATATCCAGCATCCACTGCCATGCAGAAAATTAGATATTACATAAAAATCCACTGACTTAGTTTCTGTTATCTGGTATGGATATTTACGTTTCCGTAGCGCCATGCATTTAATAATATGTCATTCAAACACATCCATTTTTGTAGTAGGGGTATGAAAGTATGAACTTTTAAGAAGAAAACTGTCAGACATATTAAGAAAATACCAGGGAAACAAACTTTATCTCAGATTCAAAAGATTGTGTTAATGTGCAATGCTCATGTCATTAGATTAATGACTTTAATAATTTCCTATGGGGAACTGAAATTTTATTTTAATCTCTTCGCCCCAATCAAGAAATAATGCCACCGAGATGAACGGGGCAAATGAGAGTGAGAACGAAAAAAATAATTAAAGGAACCAAAAGCGCAAACAGGAAACAAATCATAAAACTTTACTTCTGTTAAAGAAACTGTGGAGGTCTGTGAACCTGACGATATACTTTATTGTCAGGTGAAACACTTGATAAATGATGTTAGTATACAGTACATGAAAAAGAAATAATAATAATAATAATAATAATAATAATGCATCCAAAGGCTGATGTAGACCGTCTATACATACCCCGTAAAGAAGGTGGAAGAGGTCTTATTCAGCTAGAATTGTCATACAAGACAACAACTATTGGCTTACTAACTTACATGGAAACAAAAAATGACTGGATGATAAAATTAGTGAAACAACATGAAAACAGAAAGAAAAAAAAATATTCAATAATAAAAGAAGGCAGTAAA